TTATTCAGGTTTTCATATATCAATGCTGGCAAATATTTTTCTTAAGTTGATGAAGATAGGTTATCTCATGTTAGTGACACAAAATTATAAGAGGAACCCACAAATATTTGAAAAGAGAAAAAATAAAGGTGGAACCCACATTTGTTATGTGTGTGTAGAAATTTGATTTATCTTATATTGAATTAGATAAATATAACCCATCAATGCTTTATTAGTTTAAGACCTTCTTTATAATCAATTTCTAAAAAAAAAAAATAGACAAAAGTTTCTTATTTTTAAGTTAAAAAAAATACTCGTATTTGTTGGTGCTTCAGTCATTGGGTTTTCTTTAGATTTATTCACATTTGCTTTATAATCGACTCCTTAAAAATAAATTTGTTTTTTTGTGCTTGAATAATAGAGTTTTTTTTTAAGATTTATTTACATTTTCCAGGATTTGAGCAGCAAAAAAAATTAAAAAATTAATATTTTAATAAATAATTATGCATATACAGGTGTTTCGAAATTATTTATGGATCTATTGCACTCAAATTAGATGCGTCTAAGTTAGGCATGACTCCGAAGGCTTTCAGGCCTAATTTAGGCGTGATTCGTCTGATTTTGACACGTGACACCAAAAAGTCAACTTACAAACCATAAAACTTTGGAAAATCATAACTTTTGACTCAGGTATACAAATCAGGTAATTTTTTTTTTGATTCAATAAAACTTTTCGAGATCTGCGCAATGACACCTCATTTGACATATTCTATCTCTCACAAACAAAATTTAAATTTACAATGATGATATTATAAGAGCGTTTAAACCAGAAACCTCCAAGTTCTGAGTTTGTGATTTAATATAAAATAAATAAATATAGATTTGATTTGTGATTTAAATTAAAAAAATCAAAATTTTAATTTTTAATATAAAAAATAAATAAAGATTTGGTTTGCGATTTAAATTAAAATAAAAAATAAAAAATTATTATTAATAAGGAAAACAAAATAAAGATTTGATTTGTGATTTAACTCAAAAATCAATTTGAAAAATCTGTATTAATAAAAGAAATAATTAAATAAATATTCTAAATCTCTAAGGAAGAAGGATTTTATTTTTTAAAATCATTCATAGGTTATAAGCTTCCAACGAATCCAACTATAAAGACTCTGCCATTGTTTGTATTAGAGACGTTTTCAAACTTTAGAGTTCACGATTGGATTTCATGTTTAGTTTTCTTTTCTTATACCCATTAATTCTTTTTTTATTTTTCTTTTAAATGTATTTATTTTTTCTCTTAGGCATACATAATTTAAATGGTTTTAAAGGAAAAAGTCATAAATCAGAAGGATGTAACTTTCAATACGGTTCGATAAAAGTCAAAAAAAAGTTTTATATTTTTAAATTATTTTTTATTATATTTTTGTATCTTAGGATTCAGTATGATTCAGATATGAAAAATCGGCCAAACGATACACGATACGTATTGTGATTCAATAACCTTGTACATTTTTTTTAAACATTTGGAAGAAGTATATATTTTAATATGACATTAAGTATCCTTATTTATAGATGGACTAATCCACTTTGGTGTCATCTTTATAGTACCATTTTTGCAAATTTGAATTGTGTTTATAAGAGATAAAATATATCAAATTTTAATTGCGTAAATCTCGAAAAGTTATGTGAAATCAAAAAAAGAATTATCTGATTCGGATACCCGAGTCAAAAGTTATGGCCTTATGAAGTTTTATGATTAAACTGTTGACTTTTTGTGCCACGTGTCAACACCAAACGAGTCACGCCTAAATTAGGCATGAATGCCTTGGGACTTGGGAGCCATGCCTAACTTAGGCGTGAATGGTCACGTCCAATTTGGGCATGAATAAGTGCAGTATATTCGTAATTAGGTTCAAAATAGTAACTTATTGGTAATTATTTATTAAAAAAGCAATATTTTAATTTTTTTGCCGGATTTGAGCTAATATTCCATGACTAGGCAAAAAATTAAAATATTGCTTTTTTAATAAATAATTACCAATAAGTTGATGTTTCGAACCTAATTACGAATACACTACACTCACTCACGTCTAAATTGGGCATGACTATTCACGCCTAAGTTAGGCATGACTCACAAGACCTTTACGCCTAATTTAGGCGTGACTCTTCACGCCTAAATTTTTTTTATATTAAAAAATTTAACAGTTTAACGGTAAAACTTCATAAGACCATAACTTTTGACTTGGATATCAGAATGAGGTATTTTTTTTCCACATAACTTTTCGAGATCTACGCAATGACACCTCATTTGACATATTTTATCTTTCCCAAACACATTTCAAATTTGCAACAATGGTACTATACGATCGTTTAAACCCAGAAGCCTCTTAGTTCTTTTTGAATCAACACCAAACACAGTCTTCTGCCTACTAGAACTTTTATCCCTATCCTATTGGTTGTATTCTTATCACTGTGAATACAGGCTTTATCTTTTAAGTCATAGTCTAAAATTAAAGATGGCATCAAAGTGGATTAGTCCATCTATAAATAAGGATACTTAATGTCATATTAAAATATATACTTTCTACAAAGTGTTTGAAAAACAAATAGTGTACAAGGTTGTTGAATCGCAACACATATCATGTATCGTTTGGCCGATTTTTCGTATCGTGTATCGTGAATCATATCGAATCGTAAGATACAGAAATATAATAAAAAATAATTTTAAAATATACAGAAATACGGATTCGTTGGAAGCTGGTAACCTCTGAATGGTTTTCAAAAATAAAATCCTTCTTCCTTAAAGATTTAAAATATTTATTTAATCATTTTCTTTATTAATTCAAATTTTTCAGATTGATTTTTGAGTTTAAATCACAATCAAATCTTTATTTTATTTTCCTTATTAATAATAATCTTTTTGATTTTTTTAATTTAAATCACAAACCAAATCTTTATTTATTTTTTATATTAAAAATTAAAAAATTTGATTTTTTTTAATTTAAATCATAAGCCAAATCTTTATTTATTTTTTTATATTAAATCACAAACCCATGACTCAGAGGCTTCTGGGTTTAAACGCTCTTGTAATATCATTATTGCAATTCGAACTGTGTTTGTGAGAGATAAAATATGTCAAATGATGTGTCATTACGTAGATCTCGAAAAGTTATGTAGAATAAAAAAAAATTACCTGATTTGGAAACCTGAGTCAAAAGTTATGGTTTTTCAAAGTTTTATGATTCATAAGTTGACTTTTTTGTGCCACGTGTCAACACCAGACGAATCACGCCGAAATTAGGCGTGAATACCTTGTGAGTCACGTCTAACTTAGACTTGACCATGCTTATTTTAGACGTGAATGAGTGCAATAGATCCATAAATAATTTAAAAACAGCTATATATTCGTAATTATTTATTAAAATAGTAATATTTTAATTTTTTTCCCTCCATGACTATATAAAGTGTTGGTGAAAGTATATGTTTGCATTTTATGTACTGCGACAAGAAGTCCACGGAGCTTCTCTTCAAAGTATTTTTGTTACATGCGAAAATAAGGCCCAAAAACAAAAGGCAAAGTAACATTTCATGAGAGCAATGAAGACGAGCTTAGTCTGTTTATTTGGCCACCCCAATCCATTACAATTTTTTTTATAAGTTGTGTTTAAAATTGTGACCCATATCAAAGCAGGTCAATTAATCCAAAACCAATTACGCTGCGGGACAAGAAAGGGGCAGGCATGTGTCAAGTCGGTTAAATTCGTTAAATATAAAAAACCCTTCATTTAGACTGAATGCAATATGGATCAGAAATTAAGGGTACGTTTGATTGTGTTTTGTTTTTTTTTTCTTAAAACTATTTTGTAGAATAATTATGGAAACAGTTGTTTTCTATGTTTTTTTATTTTGAAAGTTAAAAATCAAAACATAAAACAAAAACAACTCAGACATGTTCTCTAAATTTGATTCTAAAAACAAAAAAACAGTTACAGTTTTTAAATTTTTTTTAACAAAACAGACCTTACCAAACGAGTTTTTTTATTTTTTTTGTTTTAAAAACTAAAAAACTATTTTTGAAACAGAGCCTAAAATTAGAAAGCTGGTGCCACTTAAATTAGTTGGATGCATGATGATTTTGATAGAAATGTTAGCTTGGACTATTGGTACTATAAATTATCAATTCACACCTCTCACTTATTACTACTAAAATCAATTTCTTCAAAAATAATATACTTAGAAACAAAAGTTTGCTCTAAATTTATCATTTGGGGATGTTCTTGTGGTCCTTAGGAAATTATATTGGACCCTCCACTCTAGAACTTATTGGAAGAGTACACTGCATCTTGGGCAATCATAAACTGAAGTTTCAGGTATGTAGTAGGACCAACTGCGGATTCTGAAAAAATCAAAACATACTTGGAAATCAGATTATCACGTGTTCAGAGCTAACCATGTCATTAGCAATGCTAGCAGTGGCAATAACATCCTACATCATTAGGAATGTCTTTTCTAAGAAATCATTTTGTCAAAGACAAGGCCTTCAATGTATCTGTACCCAGTCATCTAAAATCATATTATTGTAGGTCCACAAAAAAGGATATATATATATATACAGAATTATTGACTTTTATGTTTCATTACTTCCTTTATTATTATTATTATTATTTTAAAAAAGGAGAGAATGATATGGCATTTTATAATACTTTCACAGTGTCGCGTATATGTATTATAATCCTAAGTGTAGGCTCCTGTAACTGTATTCCATGTATCTGAGTCACATATTGTTAGTCAATAAATATAACAATATCATTGTTATTCCAAGTATATTATTGTAGTTTCTAGAATTTATTTCTTTAAATTAATTTGAGTTATTAGAATTATTCATCTAAAAAGACAATACATGGAAAGAAAGGGAAGGCTTTTTTATCAGAATGATCCTTTCTCCTCTCTCACTAAGCTAGACGTTTTCCACATAAGAAGCCAAACTCATGAACCATACCTTGACCAAAAAAGAAATCACCATGCCTTTCTCCAATGACAACCTATTGGATCAACAGCCTAAGCTGCATGCTGTTCTGACCTTTACTCAGCCTGAGAATCACGCAAATCCTATCACACTGATTCCTTCATCAGCCTCTGCATACACTACCAGATATGATCATGAACAAGCAGAGACCATGCTCGCATCAGAAAGCTTAGGGGATTTTTCTCCTCCATACACTGTAGCTGGTTATTCTGAAAAGAATAAGGTTTAGGAAACATTCTCCACTCTCGAAACATATTTTTGTTTTCGAAGCTTATGACTTTCAAAGTTTGGTGTGAAATATGAGACAACAAGAGTTTTTGGTTTCTTATGTTTTATTGTTTGCATTTTTCAGAATCTGGTTGGAAACAAAAGGAAGAGAAACAATGACAGGCTTAAAGAGAAACAAAATGGAGTCATCCTTGTAAGGGCAAAAAGAGGCCAAGCAACTGATAGCCACAGTTTAGCAGAAAGGGTAAACTTTGAGTCCCTTGTTTATTTTTTATTGTTCTTGTTTTCATTGGATTGTGTAAAACAGTTATTATAGACATCCTATTCTGACATTCAATAAATAAGGAAAGCGGGAAATAATTTCTTTAGTGATGATCCTAAATATCAAAGTATTTCTGCTTGATGCTAGGTGAGAAGAGAGAAAATCAATGAGAAGATGAGGTGTTTGCAGGACTTGGTTCCAGGGTGTTATAAGGTTTATCCGAATCATCCTTTCTACCATGACCTCTTTCTTTAGTATATGTGTGCTTGGGTAGTCATAATTTGTTGCCACTCTTATGATTTTGCAGGCAATGGGAATGGCAGTCATGTTAGATGTGATAATAGATTATGTTCAATCACTGCAGCAGCAAATTGAGGTTAGATTATTGTCCTAATCACGATATCCAATTTTGGCTATTAAAAATACTGAACATAAAATTTTCTCTTCTTAGTTTCTATCCATGAAGCTTTCAGCAGCGAGTATGTATTTTGATTTGACCACTTTAGAGATGGATGCCAGCGAAACCATGCAGGTATCATTTAGTATCATGCTTTCTTTTTTCTATATTCTTTCATAAGAAAACTACAAAGATCCCATCATTTTCAAAGACTGATTCATGTAAAGTTATGGTATCTATTAATGGGTTTATATTATATCTTTTTAACACACCCTTCATACAATAGCTCATTGGACTTGAAGGGTGGACAATACATAGATCTCGCTTACTTATGTCAAGAAACTCTATAATATTTAATTATTTGTTAATAGAATACAGAGTGATGAGAATCGAATTCGTGAATCTAATATCATGTAAACAACCAATCAACCTAAAAGTTTAAGTTATTAGATGAACTTCATATTAATGATTTTATATTATATCTCTCTTTCATAGGAATACCGGCACCCATGAAATACATGAGATGGAAAGGATAGCAGAAGGTTATGCTGGAGTCGTCTGCTATTTCAATCCAACATGTTCACTTCATTGACAAGTCTTGTATCACAAGTAAATGCTTCCTTTGAAACATATAAATTACTTAGATAAATGGAAAATGAAACAATATGTATCACAAATAAAAGAAGAAAGAATTGTAGGAGGGTGGCAGATTACCCAATAACTTTTGCATTTATTTTCATTTCCTAATGATCAATAACTTCAAGTCCTGAATTGGTTTTCAATTCATGGATTGATGGGAAAAAAAGTGGGCAAATTATTGGCAAGCACATCTCGTTTGACAAATAATGGTATGACAGTTTCTGCTTTATCTGGCCGAAAATTTGATGAACTCCTGTCCACAGAAGAGTTATATAAGAGTCCAACTTCCTTAAAAGTATCATAGATAAATTCCTTTCTTGTACATTAGGAAGGCACCGACTGTATGTGGGTTTTGTAACTAATGAGAATGAAAGGTCCAATTTCTACATTGTCGGTGATGATAGTTTGGGTCCCAGAAATTGAAAATTGTGTAGTCACATTGGGGATACACAACTCTAATTAGATCAATGTGATTGATATTGGCATGCGAGTTATGTCATCAGATTAAAGTGTTAAAGGGAAAATGCTTTGCATTCTTGATAAAATTGGAGTGGACCAACGTCCTACAATATAAATACCACTTATTAAATGGAGACATTTCAAGGGGAAACATCAAACTGGAAAATGTACAAGAGGATCTGGAGTTGGCGGGTGGGGTAGCAAAATCAGCTGCCTTATCAACAAAAACTAAATATCTCCTTTATCTTTTATTATACATATCAATTTTCCATACTATTGTCTAGCTTTAATTTCTTTTTCCAAATTCTATGAACCTTTGTTGAAATTTCTTACTTGAGCTTTGTTTTTCCTTCGGTACTAAGGAAGGTGGTTCTGTCACTTATCTGAGGTTGTGTGAGCGAGATCTGAGATGAGGGGACCTGCAAAACAAACAAATTTACCACGCAAAGAAATCAGTTTATCAACTCGTCTTAGAAATATGTAAAATCATTAATGAAACTTCACTCAAAAGCTTAAGTTTTTTAGTTGAATTGGTTCTTTACATCTTAAGATGTGAGAAAATTGAATATCACATGTATGTTGTATTGTCACGAAGATACAAGTTTCTGCTGAAAATCGACAATTACACACAAATCAAAAAATAAAAGAGAAAATTTTGCCACGGCAATTCACCTTAGTTCACCCAATGTAGGCTACATCCCTTATCTGTACTACAAGTCACCCAGTTTACAAGAAGAATATAAATAGGATTAGAAAACCCTAACAACAGATATTCATGAGCCCAAGCCCAAACTACTAAGCAAAAGATAAAATTACAATAAATCAGACTCTCACAATAGTACCTGGCCTCTACGAGTTTTGGGGTGCCTCCCGGACCCCCACTCGCTCACCTGAAAACGGGACCCTAATTGTCTTTCTGCTTACCTCACCAACAAAGGCCCTCATCAGTGTGCGGAGTATGAACCATACCCAATAGTTTCGAACTTCAAACGTTAAAACTTTTGTTCACAAGAACGGTATAAATACATCATGAAAAATGGAAAGAGGAAATTAGTTATAAAAAGTATATGGTACATTCTAATTATTTCAAGAATACAAAGATTGTATTGTTTAGAATAAACTGCTTTTGTAAAGATGGCATTGTGAGTATCATAGACAGATTCCTTTCTCATCCATCTAATTTTGAAGTCTAGAAATACTTTGATGAGACATGCCTTGATTTTGCTCAAATGCTAGATTGGGATTGTGTTCTTGTGTCTTTATCATGTGTGACAATACAAATAGGATATATTCCTATTAGCATGTGATTATCATTTCATATAATTAATTGATGTGAATGTGCATGAGAAAAGAGTTCTCATCAGCTATAATTCGTAATCTATCCAACCTAAAAAGAAAGATTGACGTTTATTTGCGGCCTGTTATAGACGAGGTGAAGATGTTAAGACATCTTGGAATTGTGATTTATGATATATCTAGGAAGCAAAACTTCTTCACAAGGGCTGAATTAATATAGGCAATAAATGACTTTTAAGCCCATGGAATTTTGTGTGGGTGGCATACAATTGGCAAATGTGTGTTCCCAATTTTTATGGAACAATGTAAGGTATTCAGCCCACAAAATAGTCATAAAACCTCATGGTTTGATTATCATTGTTACTAAAAAAATCTGTATAGCGACGGAATTGTTATGGAAATTATGTCGTTAATTTTATCTTCGCTACTATTTACTGTCGTAAATTTCCTCGCAAATGATTTTGTGAGGGAATTTGTAACGAAAAGTAGTAGTGAAGATGAAATTAGCGACGAAACTTCCATAACAATTCCGTCGCTATACAGATTTTTTCTAGTATGCATCCCCATCTAAGAGGAATCTTAATCAGCTTGTGAAGGGTAAAGTTAGAACATTAAGTCCTCCGCAAAGGTTGAGTAGTGAAGAAGTTTAGGAAAGGATAAAGGAAATACCAAGTATGGAATATGAGTAAGAATGGAATTTACAAGAATATGGGTAGTCGTGCAATTAGACTAAACGAAGTATATTTTCTGAGCTAACACATTAGAAATGATCATCTTGTCTAACCCAATCTTGACATGATGTATATTTAGAGGAATGTGTTCTTCAATATCTTATTTACAGTGATGGACACAAAAGACAAGGCAAATGACAATACCTGTTAGAAGGTAAAAGAGAGAAAAGAAATATTATTTAATTGATTAAGTAAACTAGATACATGAGAGAATATAAAGGAGTGAGGATTGTAACAACTCTACAACTCCTAATATAAAATAATAAATATATTAAATAAAATAAAATAAAATATTATCTATATCTTTAATACTTCCGCTCAAGATAGAGGGTAAATAACATGAACACTCTATCTTGGGAAGAAAGAATACTAAAACAAAGTTTCACGAAACATAAGTTGAAGAAATCGATAGCATAGCAAATCAATTGGAATGACCATACGTTTGAAGAGCTAGTGAAGAGACAGTGCTAGAATGGACATCAGCTAAAAAGTGCTGGGATGGACATCGACCTAAAATAACAGTGCTCCGACTGGGATAAAAATCAATTAAGACACTATAACTAGGATAATTCGCGGACTAGGCAACAACCGAGATAAGTGCTCCCCTGAATGGGAGGAAAAAATAAAGCCAAACAATAGCAAAACCAAATACAAGTCAAATCAGACTTGAATATCACCATAGACATATATAGGAATAAAATCAAATTGACAAAATACAAGCCTAATCAGACTTGGATAAAATCCACAAAATGAAAAATAAGATCAAGAGGCCAGATACAAGCCATAGAAATTGAAACAACACAAGCAGAACTTCAAATGTAAAATAACAAGATGAATCTTCAGATTTACCTAGAAGTAGCATCGACTACACAAGGTAAGTAAGATGTGCGACCAAAACCACGCCGTAGAGGAAACACATAACGCTGAAGAGAAATATGGTATTATGTGACCAAATCGTGACCTGGAACCCGAGCTCAATCCGACCCAAAGAGAAGATCTGTTAGAGTAGTAGTGGAATCATGAGGAGAACGTTGAGCGTGACAGATCACTTGTTGGTGTAATAGAGGTACACCTATAAGCCGAAGAAATCGAGATATACGATTAAGAAGTTGAAGAATAGTGACAGAAGCTGCAACGAAGATGCAAAACACAAGAGAAGGTTGCTCTAATGGCGTCAGAAATGTTGAAGAGAATAACCGACAATAATGAAAATTCCATAGGGATTGAAAAACACAGATCTGGAAAATGAAAATGACCCAAATCTAAAAAAAACATGGAAATAATTTTTTAGGAAGAAGAAATCAGTGAATCGAAGACGGAAAAGTTGGAAAGAAAACCCAGAACAATGAAAAAAATCACATATCTAGGACAATAAAGATGACTCGTAGATCTGGAAAACCATAAGATGAAAAACAAGATGAAAGGGAGAGGAATATCGATGAAAGGAAAAGGAAAAACAGTGACGGACGACAGCGAAACCTCCATTCATGAAGGATAAAAATTTTCTACTGATACCATGTTAGAAGGTAAAAGAGAGAGAATAAATAATTTTTTTTGTAAATAATAAATAATTTTTAATTGATTGAGTAAAATGGATACATAAGAGAATATAAAGGAATGAGGACTGTAACAACTCTACAACTCACCCTAATATAAAATAACAAACATACCAAAATAAAATATTATATATATCTCTAATAATACCAAAGAAATGAGGGACTTGGAAGTCCATTGCAAGCAATCGGGTCTTCATTTAGTACATCTCTAATTAGCATTATTGGAAAGCGAAAGGCATGGTACACATTAACCAAACAACAAAGACAAGTTGTTTGTGAACAAATTAAAAGTCTTAAGTTTCCGGATGGTTATTTTTCAACTTTGTCTAGATATGTTGATACATGAGAAACAAACGTGTTTGGGATGAACAGTCATGTCTTCTTACAGTTGTTTCTATTCAATGCTTTGTATAAGTATGTTTGGAATGCCCTTCCTGAATTCAATCTCTTTATTACAGAAATATGTGCATTTGAATAGGTTGCAAGAGATGGAAAATAAAAACCCAATAATTTTGTGCAAGTTACAACATATATTTCCTCCAATATATCTTCTTTTATTCCATGTGTTATGGACCCGTATAATGGGCCCATTAAGTAGCAAGCCCAACAGGGGGCAATCCAAGATATGGATTGATGCTAATAAAGGATAGATATCCATCAAGGATACTAATCCTAATGCGACAGCATAGCTATCAGGCCTGGACCCTCACCGTAAGAACCAAAGGCCCATCCACACTACCTACAGGTAACCTCTATAAATACAAAGGTAAACCCTAAATGTACACATATTCTCTCTCTTATTGTTATGCTGTCACTGTGCGCACACATACACCCCATTTGCTAACGCCGTTATAGTATTCTGTGCACAGTGATCTGCTTGACTCAAGGGTATCTCCTTCATAGATACCTTGGAGAGGGCACCAGATCCAACATTAACGCACTAGGCTAATTGAGCTAGACATCTCTGTCTCAAGGACAGAACACCATGGAATATCTCCCAATTCACTAAGCACATGAAATAAGAATTGATAGTCCATTGGAATATAGATGGATGTATCCATTTCAAAGGTTTTGATGCACACAGGTGACAATTTCGGGATGGGCTCAAATTTGACCAAATCAGCCTTTTGAGCAAAGGCTATCATTTTGCCATAAGCCTCAATGTTTTTTGAGCTTCTAGAGAAGTTTACATTGAATTTTTAATTTTATTTATCTATTTTATCTTTACAATTTTGTAATCTTTGTTATTTTCCTTTTCATTACCTATTTAAGAGTATTGTAAACCCTAATTTATTTGGCTATATTTTGTTGAATAAAGATATTGAGAGATACAGCTACTCTAAATCCTATTCATTATGTCTAGTCAATTTAACATATTCTTTGACATTAGGTTTGTTCTTTAGTCTACATTATTTAATCATGAATTTTGTGTGACAAAAATTTCTTTAGATGTATATTTTATCCAATAATCCCATCAGCTTCATTTGCTTTATAGGTTTATGTGAACCTTCAAACAAATGCTCACTAACCCTCGTCATGTGGAAGGTTGACTTTTTAATATGTATCTAGGTGAGGAGATGGGAACAATGACTAGATTGCCACTTTTGTGGCATTTTTTTACCAATGTGTCATGCTAACAATGTTGTTATCAAATATGTCATGCATCCAAGTTCGCTACAGTAGGCAGCGAACTTGGTTTGCTTATGTGGCGTGTTTCTGGTGGCAACCAAGTTCGCTATTGGGTGTAGCGAACTAGGTGACAACTAATAGCCCTGTGCTATGACCAGTTGCCTATTTCAGCTAACTAGTTGTGCAATGTGGCAGCATCTCACCTAGTTTGCTGCAGGGACCAGCGAACTAGGTGCCAAGTGGCAGCTCTCTGCAAGTTCGTTGCATGGGCCAGCAAAATAGATGCCATATGGCAGCAGCTCACCTAGTTTGCTGTATGGGCCAAGGAACTAGGTGCCACGTGGCAACACCTTGTAAGTTCGCTGCATTGGCTAGCGAACTAGCTGCCGACAGTTACAGTTCGCTATATATAATAACGAACTCAATGCTATTATACCTCTTCCCCTTCCACGTTCAATTTGTAAATCTTGAGCCTTTTTTTTATTAAGGAACCTCATTATGTTCTTATTTCTTCTATTTTGTATTTCATATTTAACATAATGAGTGAGAGTAACAATTATTTAATCGCCATTATATATTACAATGGGAGATATTTTGGACCGAACGATCAAGTGTTTGAAGGAGATATGAAAATGTTCTACATAAGCCCCAAATGCAAATATAATGATCTGAAGCAAATAATATACATGAAGTTGAGATTACAACGGGGTCAACCTTTCTCTTGATTGATTGCTAGATGCGCCTTGGGTGACCCGGTGCAGTGGGTTGCTGTGGAGGTTGTCGAGGATGAAAATGTAGCATTAGTAGTAGACGCATTTCGAGAGGATAGAGAGTCTTCATTCATCGAATTGTAGGTAGAACTACACATTGGTGGACATTCAAGCAAGCAACATTCCCTCCTTTATAGTTACTCGATCGACATTAACAGGGAGTCGCTAGTCAATCCGAAAGATAGGTATATGTCACCCCCCCTCCCACCATCACCCCCACCAACAATGCCTTCAAATGTGAGTCCTGCCCATGACATGTATGATCCCACGTGGCGTACGGACAATTCCAAGGAAGAGATGGACGAAGATCTTGTTCCTGACATTGACTCATCGGATACAGACGTTGATGGTGATTTCGAGAGGACGTCGTCTAGTGCATTGTGTCATCCGATTCCTTACTTCGTGGATTTATTTATAGAAAAATTATATTACATTAATATCTATATAAATTAATATAAGAATATATAAACATGGACTATATCCTACGGGAAGCAAAAAAAAAATAACATGTCCTCTAACCTAAGAGACCTAAAATCTAAGTTATTACAATAAAAACAATTTAACATAATTCAAAATTTTAATTTTAACATAAAAAATAATTCACACAAAATATTATAACATTAATATAATGAGAATTTCATATGGCCTATATACTATATTTTAAAACAAATATATATATATATATATATATATATATATATATATATATATGTATCTTCTAAGGTGTCAAGTCATAAAATAATTAATATTAAAATAAAATAGATAAAACATAGTAATAATATCTTCATAAAATTAATTAATAACTATCAAATATTACATCAACTATCCTATTTATTAATGTTCCTATAAAGGAATATAATAACATTAATATACATGACTTCTATCTTAGAGTCTCATAAAACTAAAAAATCTTCTAGCCTATGGTTTCTATCCTATAAATAAATAATATCAAACAATTAATGTTAAATAATGCATAAATAAATAAATAAATACTAGCCTAGATGATGTTGAGAGAGATAGAGAGTGAGAGAAAGTGTAAGAGAGAGAAAAAGAGGAAGAGAGAGTGCAAGACAGAGAGAGAGAGAGGTGGGGAGGGGGGTTTATATAGGCTGGGACTGGGTAGCCGTTGGACCAAATTCGCCACCCACCCCAGCGAATTTGTCCACTCAGATACATGGCTGAATGACTACTTTTTTTTATTACCGTTGAACGTAGTTTGCTGGCATGGGCAGGGAACTCCTCAGAGTCTGTCACGTGGCATGGCAGGTGAATAAGAAGGTGACATTAATTGTCACATAGTTCGCTACACCCAGTAGCGAATTTGGTGGCCACTAAAAATACATCACATCAGCAAACCAAGTTTATTATCTATTGTAGTAAACTTAAACACGTGACATATTATAAAATAATACTATTAATGTGACATATTGGTAAAAAAAAAATTGCCACAAAAGTGACATTATAGTCACTGTTCCGAAAAGATGTCCACATTTGCCGTGTATTATTATTCTCTAGACTTCCCATCAAGCATAATAAGAACACTACAAATTAATGATGACCGGTTGAAAAATTTTCTATATACTTTTAAAAAAATTCGCTCAACATGTTAAATAAATATAATGACTTATAGGTATATAAAATTAAAAGTATATTTAAATATTATATAAATAAATAATAAAAAATTAAGTCATATAATTATAAGACTTTAGTACGAATTTTTTGTTATATTTTATAAGATTATAAATATATCTATATGGATTTATTTCATACTAATTCTTTTTAAACAGCAAGTTATACATTAAAGAGTCTATCAAATAGTTTACTGTTATCCAAAAAAAAAATATTTTACCAAAAAAAAGTATCTATCAAATATTTTCATATTACATAATTTTTAAAAAAATATATATTATATTACAGGAGATAAAATTATTTTCTACATATATTTTAAAGTATGTAAAGTTTAATTTGTCTTTCTTTCTCTTCCCCTTATATAGACTATAATTTATACATATATAGAATATAATTTTCTCTCCTATCACATAAGAAATTTTAAACTCTAAAAAAAATTATTATCATGAATATTAAATTAAAAAATTTACAGATTAAACAAGTAACCTATTATTATCAAACAATAAGAAAGATATACTTACAACATTTTTTTCTCTTATAATCATTTATAGTGGTTATCAAAATCAAATCAATAAATTTTGTTTAATATTTTTATAATTATTAATTTAATTTTGATTCAATAATCATAAAATAATTATGAAAAATTGTATGAAAAAAAAAATTATAAATATAACTCATCATCCAAAATTAAATACACGTCAATTCTTAAGAAATGGAAAAACCAATCGTACGAATCGTTACATACCAGACACCTTAATGACGACGAAGGATCGTGGCTATTGCGAGCATTCGAAGAGGTACGAGGTCGATGGACAGCAAACTAAGGTCGTTCAGGAGCGAACGAGGAGCATAATATTAGTTTAAAAGCAGTTAGTTGCATGGGTTTGAACGCCCACAGATAAAAAATGTTGCACCCATTTTCATTTCCTTGCTCCAACCACTCTTCTATGTCGGTGTTGCCTTCACCATTATTCCTCAATGCTACGTCGTTTCATCTCACGCCCCAATCTCCCTCTTTTCCGTTTCCCCGCCGACCGCTAAATCCACCGGCGCTCCGATCAGTTCTCCCGGTGAGTGCCAGCGCCACTTCACCAATCTTCGATCTCAGTAGGGGCAAAGGGTACTTGCAATTTCCCCACTCATCCCTTGTTTGTGTTTCAATTTTCATTCTTATCAATTTTCCTTGTGATTTTAAAGTTGGGAACTTGGAATTGGGTCTTCATTTTGTGCAATTGATGGGTCACATACAAGTTTTATTAATCTTGTTGGCTTTCCCTGATATATGCAATTTACATTCAATCTTCTCTCTTTAATTTTTTTATTATCTAAATTACTATTATTATTATTTAAAAAGTGAGATAAAAAATTAAAAATTAAAAACAATTTGTTTGTGTAGTACTACCTGCTTCGTATATTGTACCAGACTAACTCTGGATGAAAGAATTTTACATTGGCTTTTTTTGAACTTCTTTTTGCTTCTGTGTATAGAAAAGCTTGAGAAGTTTTGGAAGGACTACTTATTTCTAGTTTGATATTATTGTAGTGCTATGTTTATTGGTATTTTGGTTGAATTCATGGAAATGTCAATGTCAATTTGTTCAATCTTCAGATCATATATAATATTCTTCTTACAAGATCACACCTTTTTTTGTGATATAACAGGCAGGTTACACTCATTTGCTTTTGTCATTTTGCAGAATGAGTCCGTTCTTTGATGTTGAGCTAAAAGTCCGCGATTATGAGTTGGATCAGTATGGTGTGGTCAACAATGCAATTTATGCAAGTTATTGCCAGCATGGTGAGACCTCATGAGCTGGTACATGTATATTTTCAGTAGATGAACTGTTACCGTTACTTGAATGTTTTCTTTTAAGATAACTTTTTTGAGATGATGTGATAGGAAAAAAATGTTTTATATATGTATGTCTCTTGTAAATGATGTTTGAGAATTGATGTTAATTTTGAAGTGTTCACAACTTCAAATGAAAACCGAATTTTGACATGGCATATTGTGGATGGCTCTAATGTGATGAGTTGGTGATTTTTGCATGGTCGTTGTTTGAGATTTTAATCCTTTTGTTTAGATAGAACTTTATATTTTGATTTATATTCTTGAATAACTTTGACTTGAATTTAGAATTGTCAGATTCAAGATAATCAGCATGAAAAGAATCATGAATGTAAAATAACAAAATCAGACAGCACAAGCATAAGATTAAATTTTTATGATCTTTCTTATTTTATTTTTTGATAAATTGACTCAATAGCCATATAAAGAAGGAATACAATTGAAAAGGAATCTAAACTTGGAATCAGAACATACATTAAAAAATAACTAAAGCAGTATTTCAGTATCCAGTCAAAAGCATCAGAAGTCACGTATGCAGTTCGATGCATATTCGCCAGATTTGCCTCTAGCCAAAAGAACAATTCTCCCTGTTAATATGCAATATTAAAAGTACCGTGAACTCCATAAACAGAAAGTAGTCAGACTTTGTGAGAAACGAACCTTCATGCATGCAGATGAACATTTGTTAGGCTATAAGAAAAAGATAAATTGGTAATCGAGAAGGAGAAATAGCAAGAGAGAAAACATAGTGTTAGGAACCTGAAAATATACTTGATAAGAATTGATAGAAACCAGAGAATCTGGTATTTGTTTTCAGTATTACTAACTCCGGAATAGTGATTATGGGTTTTTTCTGGTGGATGAGAAGAACTAAAAGAGAAAAGAAATTACAGAAATGACCACATCCAAGATTGAGTCCCCAGAATTGGGAGAGATATAAATGGAAATAGCTCTGACTCTGTTACCTCTGGTAGATCAGAAAAGTCAGAGAAAAAACTCTTCATAAATGAGACCTGAAAGGCTGAATTGAAATTTGAACAAGGAGTTGTTAGAAGAAAGTGCAAATGAATAGAACAAAATCAAAGACAAAAAAGGTTTCAACCTTGAAGTTCAAAGATTGTGAAGGCCTTAATCGGGTTTGAGATCGAATTTCGGAGAATGAATAGGATGAAGGGATTCAGAATACCACCCAAATAAAAAATCTTTGTTTTCAGAATACCCACTCCGAGGTTTCCTAATGATTGTACACAAAAAATGGTCCCTGATAATCAGAGATAAGCATTAGATCATGTGAAATGGATGCTTTTGAAGAAGGGGAAAATGGAGCTCTGAAAATGAGTAGTGCAGAGCCTGAGAGAAAATGCAGGGATGGAGAAGCACTCAGACAGACAAATAGGATAGGAGATTCAAATTACAAATTTAAACTGATAATAAGCTCTCGACGTATTATCCGTTTAGAGTGAAACCTATCTCATTTAGGAAGTGAGTATTATTTATGTCTTTTTTTTTTTTTGGTAGATACCAACCAGTGTCTGAATCCTTAACAGGCTCAACTAATCCGGTTTTGGGTTTGAACCTCTCCACCCTCCTCAGAAATTGTAGCTCTCAGGAATCGAACCCACTATAGTCCTTTTGAGTAGGTCAAATCCTGGGGTCTAGCTAGGTCGCCACTAGATCAACAATTGTTAGGTAGTATGACTTGTGTCTTTACTCAGCATAAAAAGGTCTCTTCTTTAATATATACACAGGTATACTTGAATGGAGAAGACATATAATATGTAGTTATGTACATTCGATAAAAAGTAGAAATTTACTGGAATAACCTCTTGCATTTGTGCATATTGGTGGAACTTAGATTTTCTCTACTAACCTTTCAATCCAAGCATTTATTTCATAAATTGGGAAGAAACTACCCATGGAACCTGGCTCAAGGGAGTTGTTGCCAGTGCAAGACTATTTGCAGTATGGAACTATGGGTGATGTCTAGTAAACAATCATTTACTCGTTCAAAAATTCACTCGCCTTTCTGCATCCTATATACATACGAAAAAATACCTTAGGAATTTTGCAGGATCAGGTCTAAACTTTTCTATTCAGATTTAGATGCAAATCTAATGGTTCTTCATACTGGTAGTTTCTTCACATTTTTTCTTATCTTGTGTATGCTTGGAAATATTTTCCCCTTTATCTTGATCTCTGTTCTGTTAATTTGAACTTGTTTAAGCAGGGAGTTGACACTTGACCGGATACTGAATTGAACTCTATTGAGTTGAATGGTCTACAAAATTTATTAACTATCCTTGTACATTTTTATGGCAATTAAAATTAGTAAACAACCATCCCACTTAAAGCTCAAGCTGTCAAGTGAAGGTCACTTTAATGGTTTTGTATTAGACTTTTCTAACATACCCTCTCACACAAGAGCCTATTGGGCTTGAAGAGTGGATGATGCACAAATCTACCTACTTGTGTTTAAGAAATTCCACAATTAAATTTTTATTAGAAGAATGAGGAGCAGTGAGGATCAAATGCGTGACCACTTGATCACAGGCTCTTATATTATATTAAACAACTATCTCACCTAAAAGTTCTTACGGTTTTATATTAGACTTTTCTAACAAAAATGCATGCTTTCTATATTACTTGTATAAACTGATCGCTTGGCTATAAATATCTTCATAAGGTCGTCATGAACTCTTCGAAAGCATTGGTATTAATTGTGATGCTGTGGCTCGCAGTGGTGGTGCATTGGCAGTGTCAGAATTATCAATCAAATTCCTTGCGCCTCTAAGAGTAAGCCTCTCCAATTTTGTTGCTCATTTCTGTTTGTTAGGATATAGTGTACATAACCTCCTGTTACATGGTAGTAAACTAAAAGGATATGATGTCTTGTATAAGATGGTTCTGTTTGCCAATATTTGTTCTCATTTTAAGAACATGCAACCAGAGTGGAGACAAATTTGTTGTAAAGGTTAGGATTTCTGGTGCTTCAGCTGCTCGTTTTTACTTTGATCACTTCATCTGTAAGCTGCCAAACCAAGAGGTCTATCTCCATCACTTACAGTTTATTCTTTTACTATCTTTGAGGATATTTGTTGATATTTGGTGAATTTGATTGGCAGCCTATTTTGGAAGCCAAGGCCACAGCTGTGTGGCTTGACAAAAACTATCGTCCTGTTCGAATTCCGGCAGAGATGAAGTCTAAAATTGTAGAATTTATTGAAATGGGGACTCTTTAGGTAGTTCAGTTTCCAGATGAACTTAGTTTCTTGGTTAATAGAACATTCAGAAAGGTAATTGTTTCTTTACTTGCCTTCATTTGTCTTGTGGGTGAGGAAGGAGGTAATACAGCTCTGTAATGGAGAATCCATTATATTATTTCTATCAAAAGAAAGAATCGTGGTTTTAAACTACAACCATAGGAATAATACTGTTTGGTTTCTTGATGCTCAGAAAAGAACAACAAATGGACTTTTCGTTTTTTCTTTCCCCCCCTGAATCCTTGGCCCTTTTTGACTTTGTCGTAGTTTGTCACTTGGTGAGAGAGAGAAGAGGGTTTAAAGAATTATTTTGACTTTGTATCCGTAAGTGTTCTGTTGGACATTGATGCCTAAGTTGTTTAATAATATGCCACGATGTGATCTAAGTGAAGAATTGAAACGTTATACAAAGGAAATCTCCGATCAAATAAATTCTCAAATGGATTACCGGTGGTGTTTTTAGCTGCTAACTATAGCGTTTTACTTTGCTGTATGTGGATTTCATTCCTCAATTTTTTTGACATAATTTCTAGTCATGGAAACATTGATTATTTAATTAACAAAGACAACTAAGTGTATTATTATAGGGCATTGAAATTATCCTTTAACTGAAGAATTCTAGCCATTCCTGCACACATAAGAGCCCTCGCTGTCAATTTTTTTTTTTTCTAAACTTTCATGGAGTCCATATTTTTTTTTTTGTTAGTGTTGCAGGAAAGTTTTAACCCATTATTATAACTTGGTGATTGTTATATATGAAATAAAGTGTAACAGAATGGTACATGTTGTTGGATATGGCTTAAATTTCACATGTTGATTAGAGTCTTTGTTGGCAGGTTAGCAAAAAAGCAAATGAGGTTTTGCTCCTAGGTGAGTGGTCGAGGTTCGGGAGAGCCGCCTCAGTGGTGGTACAAGGGGTAGCGCCCATGGCCTCGTAGAGGCATGTTACTTTTGTGAACTTTTGATTTATTGTAATTTTCATTTTTCTTAGTAATTTGTTTGGGTTTGAGACCATAAATAGTTATTGTTAAGGTTTTTTAAATTCTATTTATATTCTCTTATAAACCGAGAGACTTGTAATGAGTAGCGATTAGATAATTATAGTACAGATAAGCTAGACGTAATCTATATTGGATAAATTAAGATAAATGACTATATCAATTTTCTCTCTCTTTTTTCTTTTTCATTTTCTATTTGTGTATTGTGCAAATTGTCGATTTTTGACCTTCCATTGAAAGAATCTTATCCCATTACACATTTCCTGTGAAGTACGGTGCACTTTCGGAGCATCTTTAGTCTCCATTGCAGGAGTCTTTAAAATATTGAAGATATAGTTTGTTGGTTAATAATATAATATTTTTTTAAGTTCGCTGAATGGTTCTTGATCTTAACCTATCTATTCAGGTAACAACGTTAACCCACTTGCTCCCAAAAGACAAATAGTGTTAATCTTATAAAGTTCACTTTACGTAGCACGTGAGCAGATGCAGCTAACTGAAGATAATATGGGGTGGCATACTCAAAATTGGATGTGATAGCTTTGATTTAAAAATAGAATGATGGTACAAAATACTTTGACTAAAACCTGTTAGATTTGATTTTTGTTGGTTGTTGAAAATAACCCCTTCAATGAGACTAGTATTGAATAAAGATTAGGCCGGATTATACGTTGGACGTTGAGCCTTAATTAGGCTCGCTTTATTGAACCAATAATATCTCTATAATGCAGAACACAAGGAAGCATGTGAATGCAAACAAAAGTAACTCTAGTTTTCTTTATTAAAATAATTTGGGTTCTCTCTTCAAATTCGTAATGGCGTTTATAATATGAAAAGAGAAATGATTCTCGCACATGTTTCTTTATATTTTATGTTTGACACACAGTTCAAACAAGGAAATTTGAACTGAGTCAAAATCTAAATTTATTACTTGGGTCTCACTATTGTGAATGGGTCCTCATAGTGCAGTGATTCCTATCGCAATTCACTAGGGTGGTGCACCTATAAAGGCACCCTAACCCTTAAGTTAGGCAGAGTATAAGACTTAGGGTATTGAATTGTTTCTGTAGTAGATTTAGGATTGTTTTTCTCTAGGGGTGAATTATATTAATTTAACATTGATTTAGTGAGGTAGAGGTATAGACCTAAGCTTAATAAGAGAGTCATGCAAGTAGGTCTCAAGCAAAGGCTGAGAATCAGGAAAATGTGCAAGACACTGTGGCTGTGTTGTCTTCGGAGAGTGATCCTGCAAAAGGTATCTCCTCAACAGCTATGAGGGATTTTTATAAGTGCAGAAAATTCTCTAACGATGAAATAGTCTTACGCATTTTTTGTCTTTATTGAGCCTCACTAGGTGTGAGACAAGCAGCACCGTCTTGTGCATAAGATACGTGTGCCAGGAGCTACGAAGCACCGATATTTCAAAAAAAATCCTGACATATCATGTCTGACATTTTTTGACACTCTCGGATACTCCGACACTCCTCCGACACTTCAACACGCGTTATAGAAATTCAAAAAAAGATTCAAAGGTTAAGTTGCGTGAGTTTTTAGTTCCAACTATTAAATTCGTTAGATTACGATTATCATTGTATTGAGTTTAATATAAATATTTGAGATTTCTTATGTTTCTTTACAAAATTTATGAATATTATAAGTTTAGATACATTTTTTTGTTAAATTATTGAATATTAAATATAATATATACTACATGAATTAAAAATATTATTTAATATCAAAATGTGTCCTAACGTGTCGAAGTCTAACAAGAATTAACGTGTCGAAGTGTTGTGTCGTATCGTGTTACGTGTCTCGTGTCAGTATCGGTGCTACATAAGCTAAGAGAGTAAGATTCAATGTAATAAGTCAATATTAGTCTCACTTTAAGAATATAAGGACCTGTTTGGAGCACCTGATAAAGAAGATATGATAGGATAGCTTATCATATCTTATTTTATCTCTTGTTTGGTGGGTCAATAGAATATGATTAGCTTATCCTATTGTCTCATTTTATCCTATCCAATGCATGATTTCTTATCCTATGGGAAGAGCTGGGTTAGGATTCAATATGATAGGATATCAATATTGGATACTCAATAAATACCCACGCTACCCAATATATTTGTATTTATTGCATTATATTTTATTTTTTCTATCTCCTTTCTCTTTCTACATAATCTTATCATATTGCTAATCAAGTGCTCATCAAACACAGGACATGATATAGACTTATCAGCCTCATATCATATCCTACCTTTATCAACCTCATATCATATCCTACCATTATCCTATCTTGTCCGCCAAACGATCCCTAAGAGTTCACGTATGTAGACATATGTAGCTGGTTCATAACGGGTATTATAATGACTAATTTAGGATAAGATCTCTTCTAGATAGTGTACTTGTTGAAAACGGGTATTTGAAACAATAAAACCTGGATCTCTAATATCTGATCTACAACATTTTAACATCAACATTTCTCTAAAATCTTAAAAGACTTCAGCTAGTGCTAATCGAGTTACAAATTAGTTGACACTTTTATTCTTTTTGTAGACCTATTTTCTCTTTCAATAAATCACATCGACATTGCCAACTGTTTGTCGAAAATACTGTTGAGAGTTGCAGCCAATCGAACTCCTCCTTGTGCTAACCTCAAATTGACTATTGGGAAACGTGACAGGAAGTAATCATCTGCATAGCACAATTTTCGTTATACAATGAGAAAAAGGAAAAAGAAAAATGTCTTATCTATCAGAGTTCTTATGGCTTACCTTCTAGTGCTGAACCTTCACTGGCATCTTTATATGCCCATTTACACGCATCTTCGCTACTTTCAGATGCATATCTACAAAAATTAACCCCAGTTAAGCATATGCACATTTTGTATAACATAGAGACTACTAAAGAAGCAGCTACTAGAATTTTTCTAGCTAAAAGTTTTTGGGATTTAAATCAATAAGATGGAAGCCACTATTCTCAGGAACAGAGGAGAATAACATTTGTACATGCTAGAGAATTTTTTGATACTAGTATTAGTTTATTTTGTGTTTAAAATAATTTACAATCAAAATCTTAGCGAGATAATTTATAATATATATATACATATTTATATTCTTCCTAAAAATTAAGCATATCCAAACATGGATTGATAGAAAAAGTATCAAAAATGAAATATCAGAAAACAAATTAAAATATAATTCCATTAGAACTATTCTTTGAACTGAACTAGTAGTGAAAGAATCAATAAATGATCCTAATAATAGATGCTGATGGAACATACATAGCTGGGCATGGGAAGTCATCAGAACTGCAGTTCTCCCATTCGTCTACTTGATCAGCCCATACTTTCTGTTTATTCAGAAAAAGGAAAAAGAAAATTGAAGAAAACATCAAATTTTGGTAGGCAATTCCTTATATTGATTATAATAAAAGATGCTGCATAGTGCATATAATACCGTAATATTCTGTTCAATTGCATCAACGAAATCGCCAATGTCAGAGTCATGGAATCTTTCAACTTCTGTCTCAATAATGCTATCATCCCAAACCTTTACATGGTATGCAATTAGATAGTGGAGAGTGAGATAGATCAAATTGTTGTCTAGTTGATGTAGCTAAGAATTTGACTCACATGGTGAAGATTTTGCTTCCTTTTGTACCAGTGAACATTTATTGTATTGCCTCCCTTGTCTGAGACAAAGCCACAATGTAGAGGCTGCAGATTAAGCACGTCAAAAAACCAATATATATGATGATTGACCACATTGCATATTCAAATTGAAGCATATAGTTGATTTGGTGCTTGTATAGATGCATACCTGATGGATGTCTCCCATAAAATGGGAAAGGAAAAAAAGAGCTTGTGTGAGGTTATCTGATACCATGATGTTACCATATCCAAAAAAGAGTTTTTAGTATACAAAGATGATAAATAGAAAAAGCATGGATACAACTGAGGTTATTAGTTTGAAACAAAGATTTACATTTAGATTCAGTGTCACTTCCATAGTCGAGAAGTTGATTGGTGTAATTGGTAATTGCCCCCACAACACATCGCCCTTTAATTCCAGTTTTGTGATCTAAACAATCCCCTGAAAGTTTAGACAACATGTCAGTTCTGTAGCACAACATGCTATTAACATCATTTTATAAAGTAGTTCACTAGATCTCTGAACCATAAAACAATAAACACCGGTAGTTTATTAATTATATATGCAAATTCTATGTGTTGGTATTTATGGTCTCGATCCAAATAGCATAAGCCAAACTATATTTTACAAAACAAAAGTGGTACGGATCAAGAGCAAAGAATAAATCTCAAATCAAACTCTTGTAAGGACTATGAAGAGATGAGAAAGGAATGAGAAAGTAAAATACTTTTATTCTGGTAACTGCAAACATTATCAGGAGTATCAGCAAAGTGCAAAGCAGATGACCAGGGAAAGATAAACTTGACATGATCTGCCCATGAACACTTGCTTGACAAGTCATTTTCTGCGGATTTTGGCAGCAGTTTTTTCACAGCCTTAGCAGCTGCATCGCTGAGGCGAGCCTATTTGTTCAAAAGTGAAAGAAAGAGAAAAAAGAATGTCACAATTGCATATTCAAACACAGGAAATATAGAGAGTGACAGAGAAAGACAACTAGATAGGTACCTGGGCAATCTTACAAACAATGGCATGTCCATCATCTCCCCACCCTTGTGCATTTGGAAGCAAAAGCATGAATGAGACTATGGCCACTAGCTGAATTCTGTAACAACCCATAGTTCCCAATAATGAAATTACTATGCATATACAAAAGTACATATATATGGGAAAACTAGTATGTCTGAAGTCTGAACTTTCTTAGGTAAAATTGAGTGACTCTTGTTATAATAATAAAAAGAAAGAAAGTTATTGAAATTTATTGAGACCCATAAAGAAATATTAAATCTTATACTTAAATAGATTTAATATTATTATGTCACTGGGAAACAAATAAAATTATCTCATTGAGAAGCAGAAAATCATTTTATTTCTAGTTTGTCAGGAAAAATATTTTGAAATTACTTTTCTATTAATATAATATATATATATAAATATATATGACAATGTAAGTTATATTCTAGAATTATTGATTCTATTTATATTTAGGGTTTAATATTTTTATTTTTATTGTAAATATATTTTCAGTCTCACTCACATAAATAAGTGGATTTCAATATAAAGAGAAAATATTAATAAAATTCATCCATTTTTATGTGAATGTTATAGGAAAATATTTTTATAGCAAAAGTAAAAGTATTTTTTCCTCATATTAAACTGCACTAATTTTTAGTTATATGTGTTTTTTAATACATAAAAATTCAATTATTAAAATTGAGTTGTAAAATTTTTATCTTCTTATATGTATAAAATAATTACCCATATATATATATATATATATATATATGAAAAAGTGTTTGTCATTTTAAATGATCTAACGTTATGTCATTTTAAGAGAGATATAGACACAAAATATAATTTTTTATTTAAAATTTAAATTAAGATAAAAACCACTCATCCTCTCTTCCATTATTTTTATTTCTTATGTTTATCTCTCTCCTAAAATGTCATAACTTATCTCGTTTAAAATGACAAACAACAAACTCATATATATATATATATATATATATATATATATATATATATATATATATATTATTATTTTAATTTTTTGAGAGAAAATGATGGTAAAGTGCATGAGCGTACGAGGGTTATGAAGTGCGATCTGTGTGGATAATATTTATGTGCTTTACGACAACTTGGACAGCTGGCAATGTAATATATTCGTATTGCCCGTATGGAAAGCGTGGAAGGAAGATATTATTATCTCGATGGATTCTACCTAATATCCAACCAAGTAGGAAGAATATTCGATATAGGAAGAATATTCGATAGGATTGTTATGTGATATTTGAAACATTTAATTTAAAGTTTTAATATATTTTTTGTATTATAGGAATAGAAAATAAATTTATTTTTTATATACATAAAAATTATATAAAATTTATATTTTTTTTCTTCTCTTTGCATGAATCCCATATATTTTTATATGTATATAAAAATTAAAATTACTTTTTACAATATGAAAAATATTAATTTCTTAATTTAATTATATAAGTGATTAATCGTGTGTAATTAAAAAATGATTAATCATGTTACTTTGATAAGTTAATAAAACCCTACAATATATGTTTTTTCGATGAGAGAGGATATTTTTATTATTAAATATTTCTATTACTAATTTATTATCATCTTAATTATAGTTGGATCTCACTTTTCGGCTGATAATATTTGAAAAAAATTCTCAAGTGAGAAAAAAAACAATTTTTAATATACTTCTCAAAGTATATAAATTGTATTAAAATAATAGTAAATTAATAATAAAAATATTCTACTCCTTCTTGGATAAGACTTGTCCCCACACTATTGACGTTGAGGGACTAATTTCTGTTTCGGAGGCATTTTTTTGGGATGCTTTTCAAATCTCTGATGATAAGGAAAAGGGAAAAGCTATACATACACAAAAGTCTCTACAATTTCATGGAAAAAAGAAAAAAAAGAAAAAATACAGAGTAGGAACCGTATATGATGGAGGGGGAAAAAAAGTAAAGGAAAGGATGGGATGGGATGAAAAGTCCCCTAGTCTAAAAAGAAATCATCTGCATATCTAACACATTGTTACGGAAAATTACAGGCATTGTTAAAAAATAAGATACATCATAGTAAAACAACATTTTATTTAATTGTTTAAATAGTATAAGTATTGCACAAAAAACAATTTAATAGACATCTCAAAATTTTAAATTTTTGTTAGTAATACTAATAGCTAAATTAAGTTATAAAATATTTCACACAGCATTAAAAGAGAAAAAAAAAAATCTGTAACTCTTTTTCCTCATTATCTCAATTCTCAACTCTATTGTGCCTAAAATAATACACAATTCAAGGAGTATTGTAATAAATTTTCATTCATAATATCACAAAATCTTTTGTCTATGTACATGTATTACTGAATAGCTAATAATACAAAAAACTATTTTGTAACTCCATCACTATTATATTATTGCTTTGTGACTCAGCCATTTATATAGTTATTTTTAGAGATTTATAAATATTATGTTACGTGATGAAGCTTACACCATGCTACACTCACAATGCAAATGAGTCTCACAAGTTTTTATCAAAAAATAAAAAATAAAAAAATAGTGGGGTCCACTTGCATTGTGAGTGTAACATGATGTAAGCTTCATCATGTAACATAATATTCATAAATCCCTTATTTTTATTCCCCTAAATATGTATATTTGACCTTTTTTCGTGCAAGGCTTGCCCGTGTTGAAAACAAGAATAGAACACAAATGGATTAGGAATTAGATATCAATGAATTTAAGGAAAAGTTCGATGGATTTGGCTAAACTGTTTTTGGTTGGTATAACATTTAATGCCTTCAAACTTTTTTATTTACATTAATGCCTTCGTTTTATCTTAATGACTTTTGAATTGGGTGCTTTCTGTTTATTCGTTTACCACAAAAGGTAACTCTTAAAAGATATCTCTATTTTTCAATCAGTAATTTTATTTACACAAACACTATTATTTTTCATATATTTCACAAAAATCTAAAATAGCAAGTCATTTTATTATTGTTTTTCTTTTTTTTTCTTGCCACAGTCAACCATTCTTTCTTTTTTTATATTAACTAAAAGTTTAAATGGTGTTATATACAGATATCTCATCAGGGTCAGGGAAAACCCCCACCTCTTTGAGAATTTTTAGGAGGAATTACTGTTACGACTTCGACAAGTGCATCGGTCGTAAAAGTAATAAAGTGTATTGAGTACGAAATCATTCACATGAGTATTACAATTTCAATCACTAATTCGATATTTACACTTAAGTTGGACAATCAATCAAGAGAGTTAAATGAAATTTGATCACGAATATTGTATAAAAACTAAATTAAATAACAAAGGAAGAAGGTAAAATTTGGATTACTTGTCAATTAAGAAACGCAGTTAAGGATTCGACTTCTCCTAATTTTCCTTATATGTTCTGAATTAAAACCTTAATCAATCGCCCCTTTTATGTTGCCCATCAATTCCCCTAAATTAGTTATAACTTAATCCTTTAGCATTCTAACCCTTTACTCCCTTAAGAGAATCATAATTCCTTGGTATTCAAGCATTAATATCAATAATCTTAAAAATGGCACAATTCATATTTTTACTCCTAGGGTCATACAAATTAATGATGAATGAGTCAAACCAAGTTCATATACCAACATCCTTATTATCATGTACGAAACCTAATTCAATCTACAAGAAAACTCATAGAAGACATTAAGCAAAGACACATTCATCCAATATAAAAAGGGAAAATTACATTAAAGATTAATTTAGGAACATAAAAATTCAATTAGGTTCCATCTAATCCTAACTAAAAAGAAAATCTAGCCTAACATGGTGAAATAGAGAACATAAGAAAACAAGAAAGTTTTCCCAAACTCCATTGATGTGTGATGGCGCGGTGAATCTTCAAGGTTCCCAGAGTAATCCCGACTCCAACCTATCTCCGGCTATCAAAACATGAAAGACTCACTCCTCCGATGAAAACTATGCCTTCGATGTCAAGTTATGTCAAAGACTTATGAAGAATAGCTTAAATAGATGTAGGAATCATTGGTTTAGGTGAAAATCATATAATGGGCCTTAATTGGGTCTGCAACTGGGCGTTAAACGGGCTAGAGCGCGTTAAAACGAGCTAAAATGCACTATTTTGACAATAAAACATGGTTTTGTATTTTGTTTATAAGTTGAGCTATACTCGTTCAATTGATATGATTTTGGTCTCGTTGGAAAGATAAAAGAGATATCTACAACTTCTATGAAGAACACGAGATCCAAATCCATCATCTTGAATGCAAAAAATTGATTGAAAGACAGCTTTAGAAAGATTTTCACTAAATGGCTCCTCCTCATTTATCGCTTTAAGTCCTTCAAGTTTAACCATTGTTTCAATGCTCTAATTAAACTCAATTGTCCTAAAAACAAGCAAAAATGATTCACATAAGTCAATAATTCAAACTTCATACTTTTTAGCCAAATAACTCTAAATTTTCATGCTTTTGACTAGATATAAGAGTGATTTTATTCCTTTAAAACATGATAAATTATGTGTTTATCAAATACATATCACCCACCAATAAAATCATCACATCAGCAAGCAAAGTTTGAACCTCCTATGGGATATGAACCAAACCCCAATTGTGTCCACCTTTGTTGGCCAACCGCTCTCTTTTAATTTTCGTGTCTTTATTTACAACATATCCAATTTGTCATAATTAAGTATCGTTATCTATTTTTCAACTTCACTCTTAGGGCATGTTTCTTAGGCGGATTCTTTATGATTTCCTTGGATTCTTATCTTGGTAAACTGAAATGCAACGTTTGGTAAACTAAAAATGTGAGATAATTCCAGGGAAGTTGAAATGTTAGGATTTCAAAATCAACCTAAAAGTTTTTAGGATCCCAACAAAAAAATTCCACGGATCAGATGGATTTGTGTGTTTCTCGGGAAAATCAAAAATTAATTGTGAAATCATAGACAAAAATGATCCTGTGACTTGTACTTGCATTGTAAAAAAACGGATTAATATATAAAAATGAGGGTATATTTGTAAATTTTATCTAAAATTTTATTATCAACCAAACATAGTAATATTAAAATTCTACAAATATTCTCACCAATATTTCTGCCTACCAAACA